AGCACAAAGTGTACTATCTAGCAGTTTAGATGTAGTCTTATTAAATTCCTTTAACTGTTAAGAATTAAAAATAGCCAGTTAATTTCTTTGAGCATAGGTCTTTAATTTCAGTGTGGTTTCATCTGAAACATAGACCTAAAGCCTCAAAGAAATAGTAATCTCTCAATTAAATTTTTTTTTGTCTACTATGAAAAAAACTTACTGCAATATTCCAAATAAAAATTGCATGAATAATGTATAGAGAATGACATTTCTTAATTTTTTCTGTAATTAAAGACATACACAGTTTCAAAGTAAGATGTATTTATTGCTTTGTCATCTGAATTTTTCCACCACTATGGCTGCACCTATGTAGCAGTTTTGTCTCTTTATTCATGTACTAGCATTTTTTTAATAATATGCATTCATTACAATGAGAAGATATGCAATGAAGAAATTATAAACTCAACCCCAGTTATTTAAAAGATATTAAGCCTTTCAAGTTTAAATCATATATGCTAAATGTTACATCGTGAGCACAGAAAGGGAATTCTTTCTCTCATGCTTCCTTTTCCCATTTCATGCTACTTCAATTATTGCACCACTTAGATTTGTAGAAGGTAATAAGAGGTGATGTAATGGGTTGACCCTGGCTGTATACCAGGTACCCACCTCTCTCACTTCCCTCCACAGCTGGACAGGAAGATAAAAAATAACAAAAGTTTCATGGGTTGAGATAAGGACCATTGAGATAAGGAGAGATCACTCATCAAATATTGTCACAGGCAAAACAGGCTCAAATTAGAGATATGGAGTGAATTTACTGCTAACAAAATAAGAGCAGGATAATGAGAAGTGAAAACAAACATTAAAAATACCTCCCTCCCACCTCTCCCTCCTTCCCAGCTCTACCTCCTCCCCCAGCAGCTCAGGGAGACAGGGAATGGGGTTTATGGTCAGTTCATCACCTGTTGTTCTGCCACTGCTCAGGAAGAGTAGTAGTTCCCCTGCTCCAGTGTGGGATTCCTCCCACAAGAGAGAGTTCTGCGTGAGCTTCTCCAATGTGAGTCCATCTCAGAGCAACTGTTCTCTGCAACCTCCTGCAACATGAGTCTATTCTGAGGACAATAGTACCCCCCAGACCTCTGCAGTGTGGGTCACTATTCCATGGGGTGAAGTTCTTTAAGGACAGGCCTCTCCAGTGTGGGTCCCCCATGAGGTCGCAAATCCTACCAGAAAACCCACTCCAGCTTGTGTTTCTCTCTCCACATGTCTGGAGCTCCCTGCCAGGAGCCTATTCCAGCATGAGCCTCTCACAGGATCACAGCCTCCTCTCAGGTACCCAGCTGCTCTGTCACGGGTTTCCTCTGGGGGCTGCAGGTGGATCTCTGCATCCCCATGGCCCTCCATGGGCCTCAGGGGCACTGCTGCTTCACCATACTCTGCACTAGGGGCTGCAGGGGAATCTCAGCTCTGGCACCTGCAGCACCCCCTTTCACTCCTTCACTGACCTTGGTGTTTGCAAAGTTGTTCCTCTTGCACATTCTTATTCTGCTCTTCTCTGGCCACGGTTATATCAATAACTTTTCTTTCTTCTCAAATATATTACTACAGGGGAGTGAGCTACCATCGTTTTTAGTTGGCCCAGCCTTGGCCAGCAGCACATCCATCTTGGAGCTGACAGGGATGTGGCAGAAGGTTCTTGAAGCTTCACACAGAATCCACCCTATAGCCCTGCAGCTATGAAAATCTGATCATAGATACTCAACTCAACCCAGATGTTAACTTAACTCTAAACTCTCCAGACTTCTTCATATTCACTGAGGAACTACAGTCAGTTCAGTGAAACACCATGTGAAAGAAATGGTTGTAGAACAAATAAATCAGGATTCTGCTTGAATTCTCTTTAGCGATTTCAGTCACCAGTGGCAATAAAGGACATAAGGAAACTGGTCTTCCCAGTCTGTAGCAGTTGTTGTTTTTTTAGCACATACTCCTTGCTAATATTGAGAAGCAGCTAGCAGAATAATTTCCTCATAAAGGCCGAAGAGAATTAAGACATGGAACTACAGAACACAAATAAGAAGACATCCCATTTTAAGGAAAACTGAGATACGCAAAATGTTCAATAATAGCAAGAACTTACAATGGAAAACATTTTCATATTTGGTGCCATTAAAAGCAAATCATAGCATTGCTTTTATTTATCTATTTATTTAATAATCTGTTTAGCTTAATTATGCCCATAAAAAAAATTCTGAATTGTTCTTAATTATAATTGGTTTCAACAAATTTAATCAGTGGAATATTATCTGATATCTCTAATAGCCATGTTCATTCTAATCCCATTAGCCTATGTTAGTTGCTGCATGTTCTAAAACATAAGTTAATGGAATTAATTTTGTTTACATAGTGGGGTGCATATTAAATCTATGCTGATCTATGTCTTTTTTTTTTCAAACTCTTATTTTAATTCTCATTACCAATGAAAACACACAGAACAAATATTTTTTCTTTATCAAATATAATTTAAAAATCACTTCTATTGTTTTTATTACACTAATTAGGTATTGTGTCCAAAATTTAAGATATTATTCTCTCAGGATATTTTTTGGACATATCTTCTTTGGACAAAGCATTGAGTTTAAATTTGTACAGCAGTTAACCATCTCAGTCCAAAAGAAGTCTTGTAGATGCAAATGTAGTGTAAACATTTACAGTCATATTATCTCAGTCAGAAGAATAGAATTTGTACACACACATATCTGAGGAATGTAGATAATTGGATAAATTGTTTTATATCAATAAATATTAAAATTTATGACCTGTTCTTCATCTGTTTATTTACAGAAATTAAAGAGCAGAAGTATTATGTAAGTTTTTCTAGTAAGAAACATTTTAAAATTTCTGATTTGATGTCCATAGTATTTTTATTTTGTTAAGTAGCAACTTCTGTAAGCTAGTATTATTGATGATGAATACTAACATCATGAGATTGACTTGTCTAAATTGTCTTTGATTTAATCTCTCCCAATCCTCAATCCTAATGTTACGTTTCTTTTAAAAAATATTTTGTATGAATTTTGATAATATTATTTCTAAAAACTGTGTATAACTAGTGATTTTTGTTGCATCTGTGCATTTATTATCATGCTATTATCATACTGCTTGTGCTCACTCTCATATTATGTGAATTATCCCAAGAATTCTACAACTTTTTCATATGATTCTGACACTGATTTAGCTATTATTTTAGCTTTAGGAAGAGGTAAAAGCATTTAATCATTGTGCTTCTTAAAAGCATGAGATTTACATTTGAATCTATTTTCAATTTCTCTTGGGGTTTGTAGGTGGTGTTCTCAGTCAAAGGCAAAGAATTACTTGACAATGACTATACCCATATCATACTTTTTCCTCAAGATAAAAAACATCACAAGCTTCTGTTTGATTTTTAGGCAATTCATAAAAAAAACTAGTAGGACCCCTTGGCAGACTGGCTCTGGACATCACCTTACATTGAAAAAATGAAAAGGTGAATGGACAGTCAATACTTTTCAATGAACCTGAGAGCCTTTAGGTCATTACATTTGTAGCTGACTGAAAGATTACACATTTGCTTTTTATTCAATTTTCAAAATGTGCCTGCAGGACTGAGAGGTTTTTATGGTCAGTGTGAATGGGAAGAGCATTTTGTACTACACGAGCAGTAGTACAAAAAAGTTTATGGTTAGGAGGTGTCCTGCAACATCAAGAAGTTCAGTACATAAAAGGGACTTGTCTGCTGAGTTGAAGAATCTTGTAGGAGCTTTGGATTTCTAATAAGGCTTTAGAACGGTACAGCTAAGAGCAGATAATTTGGCTATAAACAGAAACTTGAAAGGATGTATTTCAGTCCATTACTGTCAAAAGAAAATATTAAAAGGCCAATTTCTGCAATTTTTGTGCATTAAACAATTTAAAATGATACAGGAGTGTTGGTTGTGGCACAGCCAGGATTAGTCTATATAGTTGTGGGTTTCTAAAACAGACTTTATTCAGTCACCTCTTTGTATGTTGCATTAGCTGCCCAGTGTGAATTAAGTAACGTTTTAGACTTACAAAAGTCAGGTCAAAAGACCTTTTATGTTCTAGAAAGTCAGCTACTCACAAAAGTTAAAAAAGCTACTATTATGGTTCTGTTTATAACATTAATTTGGTCCCCTCCATGTACATATGGTCTGTAATTAGATCCCCTCATATGCTTTTCTTAGGAGCTGTCAGCATCATTTTGTATATGGAACTAGCCATGCTTACTTAGAATGCAACAACTCAGTAATTTCTTTTCTTTTCCCTGATAAACATATGCCTTATTTATGGCACAATATTCAAAGCAGATTCAGAAAACAGGAATAATTCCTACTGGAATTTTTCCATGTCCCCTTTACTATAATATACAACATTAAACACTAATGAATGCATAGCAATGGCATCCTTCTGAGATAAGTATGCTTCACTCTTACCACTATTCAAGCAAGAAACAAAGGCCCAGAGATATTATCCTCTGTTTCAGAATTTGTTGTGAGAGACATGATCTGATTTTTCATATTTAGAAATCCAAACTACTGAACTGTAATTTTACGGCTTAGAGTAGAGGGGGGGAAAAAAATGACTTCATTACCAGCTCTGACCGTGCCTTTCAGTTTTGGCAACAAGGTCTGTAAAGAATCAGCTTGTCCCAAGAATCTGAGATAGCATTGATCTTATATGTACATAAAAGTGCAGATCCAATCCACTATCTGGAACTAATTTTAAATGTCCAGCTCAGTGGAATTTTGGGAACTGACTGTCCCTAAATCTTAAACACGTGCCCCATTCTAAAACACAGGTCTTAAGTGCTGTTTGGAATATCTTAGGCTGCATGAAGTCTTATCTCATGAGCCATATCTCTGTCTGCATTGGCATCTGAAATCCAGCTTGGATTTGCAAGTGTATCTCAAAGTCACTAGACACTTCTGCATATACAAGGCTAAACCTCACCCTCAGTCATATTTGGAGGAAGCTACAGAGCTGTCAGTTCATCCGAAAAATTGAATAATTGAATGGAGTATCTCTTCAGCAGGATGCAGATGACTGAAACTGTAAGTGTCCACTGAGGAGTGTGTGATGATGAAGTTTTCCTTTTTGGTCTGTTTTTGTTGTTTCAGGAGAACACGTATCACTTTATATATCCTTTGTCATGTCTGTCAGTCACTTGTAAGACTGCTAAATACTCTTCAGATTTTCAAATTGAACAGCTATGCATGTACAGATATCTGAATTGAGTCACCTAGTGAATGATTGAGCTCATCTTGACACAAGATAGCTAATGTGTCATTGAAATTTATACCTGGAGTGAGTTTTGTGGATGTTTGAATGTGAAGAACTTGTTCTCTACAATATGACTTAAAAACACATGTTACATTGAAATAGAGCTGGTTTTGGTTTTTTTTTTCTTTTCCCTTGAAGTGACCAATATTTCATTCCTCAGGCACATTTCTCTGCCAGCCAAATTCCTTCCTGATTGCACCTCCCCATTTCCATGTTATTCTACACACACACTGGTGCACTCTTCCAGCTTCTAAACCTTATTCACACTTCAGTAAAATCTACTTGACACCATACTGACCTACTCTTAGCATATATTTTAACTTATTTACCCATCTAATCCTTGTTCCACTGAGCTGTTCTAACCTTTTGTTTCAAGCTTTTTGCTTCAGGATACTCCCTTTTACTCTCTGTCCTTCATTATCAGATTCATGTACTTTATTATTTCTTTTTGTCTTCTCCTAGATCTTCTTGGAGATTGAGACACATAGTTTCTGTCTCCGGTATGTTCTACCTTCAACATTGTGTTAACTCTTCTTCCCACTCTGAGAAACTGTAGAAAATTTAATGCAATAGCAAGTGCTAAGTTCTAAAAGTTGTGATACCTTATCCCCTTCTGATGAATGAGAAAGAGCAAAATCAATAATGAATATGAAAGTTTTTTCTTTGCTCTCATTTGTGGATTCCTGTAGTCTGGAATTTTCCAGTTTTTACCTGTAGACTGGTACCTTTCCACAGGATAGATCTGACATGAAGCTTCTCAGGCAGAATGGCCTAAATTTGGTAGTTTTAAACATATTTAAACATATTATTCAGAAGTAAAATGCAAATTGTTTGATAAATATTGTCAGTTTTCGCATATTTCCTCACTGAATGCCAGAATATCCAAGGGAAAGAGAATAGAGAAGAATCTGAAGGTTGCCTTGACCAATGCTTTTCAGAATGCTAGAAAATAATTAGATAAAAACAGTTTGATTTTGTTGTTGTCATAATTCTGAATAGGTAGTGGCCTAATTACAGAACAATTTAAAAGCAAATTTACTTGAATAGAATACTTTGGAGCTGTTCAGATTGGATCCAAGGAGTAAACAACCACCTGAGAAATTTAATGTGCCAGGAACTCAACTTTTATTCCTATTCTTTAGTCTTCATCTATCACTGTATTTCTATATACCAGAGTCACTTCTTCATCCCATCTGTTATGCTAAAAAAGCATTCTGGCACTCATTCTTAGCTACAGTACGATTAAAGAAAGGGAAAAATAAAAAGGAAAATAAAAACTGAATAAGCTTCCTAAATGTATATCTTCATTCAGTTTTCAAAACATTGAGATCTATACTATTTGGCATAACAAAAGGTTTTGCGCATGACTCCAAAGTTCTGGTCCATAAACCAGGGGTCTCCCCTAGGTCTGCTGGCAAACATTCCTCTCCACAGGTCTTGCCATTCTCTATAATCCCTCAAATGTCAGTAAATCCCTAGTATTTAGTAGCAGAACTCCAGAAAGTTTTGGTTTCCTGCCATGGATGCCTCAAAATGGTGTCAAGGCTATACAAGCATATGAATCTTTGTGAGTGATGACGATTTTTATTTTTCATTTACCTTTCACACAATTAATCCTTGAAAAATTAGGGCAAAGCAACCCTCTTCTGACACGTTTTTACATGTTCCCTGACATCTCCTGCTGGAAATTTTTACTTCATGAAGAAATTAAAATCATTATAATCTAGTGAATGGATGCAGTTTATCTCCCTTAACTTGCTGCTGAAATTTTAACCAGAGATTTACAGAAGCTAAATTCATCAATATTCAGGTTTAAGAGAGTCTGCAGACAAAAGGGTTTATATAGCAGATAGTTCACAATGGGAGAACATCATTATCACTGAAAAATAATGCAGTAATACATTACTGCAAAGCAAGCTACAAGGATGTCAATAAGAAACACTTTAAAATAATAAGCATCATCTCTTATTTGCACCTTAACAGTTTAAATATTCATAAAACTACTGGAAGGAATTGGGTCAAGGGAGAAGGAATGGTTATTACTGGAAAGCATGTGGAGACATATATTATATTGAGAGATGTCAGGGAACATATTATATTGAACAGTTAATAAGTTTATTGCCATGTACTCTACCCCAAAGAGATATCATTTAACATTTAAATTAAACCTTCATATATATATTCTTCTACTTATTTACAGTGAATTAGGTCTCTCCTGGTAAATCCCAAATTCATACTACTTGTGCATATTACAAATGCTTACTTACACAGAAAATCATTCTGCTCTGTGACTCCTCAGAAGATGAGCCAAAATTTTCAGCCATTAAAACTCTTATTTTAAAATTCTGCTGGTTTTTGTTACATATTTATCCTTTTTACGTTTTGCTTACTTCTCTGCTCTTCTATCAGGATTTCCAAGTTTCCAATCCTTAACAAAACTGAAATCTAAAATTTTGCTAATTAGAGAATTATTAATATTTAATAATAAAAATATAATAAGAATACTTCATTCTAATTGATATGGTGCATTATTTCAGACACTATTACATAACTAATTTTCATATTTGCATTTCAGAAGAGTTATATAAATTAAAATATGTTCAAACAAAGCATTATACTACATGGTAAATGTATGTTGCAGATAGAATTTTTTGGTTTTCCTTCTCATATTAAAAAGATTATCAAATTTAAAGTTTTCTATTGAAGAAAGCAGGAGATTCGGCAACACAGATCCTTTAAAAACATTTCCAAGTAAAAGTCTGACCATTTGGCTTGCAGAAGCTGTTATTTTACCTGTAAAATTTTCCAGCAGCTTATTTTGAGCAGTTTTGATTCTCCTCAAAAATTAATATTTTATTCCTAAAACATAAAACTTAATGAAGATCTAAAGAATCATACACTTTTTAAGGCTGAAATGAGTATGTTTAGATTTCCAAAACAGAGTTCTAAGTTATTTTGTTCAAATAATAGCTGTAGTATTAAAACCAAAAAAACCCAAGCAGTAAGAAAGAAAAATAAATCTAAGTCACAAATAAAATGTAACAGATGAAAATACAGAATTTGGATAATATAACAGCAATTATCATGTTCTAAACAAGAAACAACCACTCTCAGAATAATCTTCTTTTTTCTCACCAGACATCATTCCTAGCATGATTTCTCTTGAGGAACATGAGAATATGTTCAGTAATATAAGTGGAGAAAACAGCAAAAAAAAGAAAGAGTCAGTGATGATTCATCAGAAGACAATGAAATTAATAAAAAAGCACAACAGTTTACAAACAAGCTGTTAACTCGGCAATGCATTGGGTGCACATGCATCAAAGCAACATGACATTGGAAAAAAACATGCTCTAATTTTTTTTTTTCTTTGTCTGATTACTCTTAAATAAAAATGCAAATGCCTTTGTGTCAGGGTGTGGTCATAATTCTGGTTATTTTCCCTCTTATTGAATGCCTTTAATATTTTGTTCTTACCAATAATTCAGACTTCAGAGGAGAGACATCAAATAACCCAATACCAACTTTTTTTTAGCCGTTCTCCAATAAAGTAGAACTGGTGATTGTAATCTATTCAGAAATAAAAGGTACTTTAATGACTCACTGGCCAGGCAAGTGTAGCATGTATAAAATTCCATCAGTTTTGAATTTAATCCCTTGCAGCCCCAGTGAGGTGAGCAAAGCCTGGCAAAACTAACAGATTAGTCTCCAGAGGAAACACAGATCACTCAGTATCACTGGTCTGCAGCCAAGCTCAGGTGTAGAGTAGAATATATTCCACAAGCTAGCAGGCTTCTTAGCATGCCTGGGAACCTGTGTGCCTCACAGAGGTGTCAACAGGTTTTATGATATGTCAGGATGACAAAACATAAGGATTGAGTTTTCATATTATTAATAATTGCTATATTATGCATTTCTTCACTGCTTCGATGGAAGTGAGCAGAGTGAGGCTTATAGAGAAGTCACATGCATCTAAATATAATCCATGTACCAAACTTTCCAGTGATATTACACGAGATCTGTTTCTCAGTATTCATTGTAGCATAAGGTATTCATTAACAGTTTCAGAAAAAAAATGCACAGAAACTTCAATTATTGTTTTATTTCAGAGATGAAAACAGGGAAAAAGTGAGCAGAAAATGAGACAACATGAAAGAAACAGGATCAAATCTTAGCAACTAAAATTTTTGCATCATTACTTAACACTTGTTTATACCAGGAACTCACATTATTTATAACCTGGAATCTAGAACTCAGATTTATATAGAATTATGATTTTTAACTCACTTTCTGCTGCCAACAGAGACTGCATATTAATTTCCACAAAAACTGTGCTCAGCATTGTAATTTGCAATTTACGGAGAACATGAGACAACACCTTAGTACTGTTTACTATACATTCACTACATATTGAACAAATAATGTGTTTAAGAGAATTTTACTCTTCCCTCAAGAATTTTAAGTCTGAGAACTTAGGAATCCTCAGCTCATAATTTTTCCATTTGGCTTTTCTGACAGATTCTGCACTCCCTTAGGCAGCAACGTATGTCGCACAGTTGATGGGAAAAAGGAGGTGCCAAAGATTGGCTCCTAATCAGAGAGAGCACAGAGTAACAGAATGTCTACAGGTCTAGATATTGCTGTGGCCAACACAATGTTATTGAATGTTAAATACTGCTTTATAAACTTCACTGTATTGAAAGCATTATGTATTTTATTTTCTCCTCCTTCGTGACACCCTAGGCATGTTACATAAAGTTGGCAGAAAAACTGAACAGGCTTTTTCTACTTGTATTAATGATATTGTAGGAACTTCAACAAACAGTGGGATAACAGAAGGAATAGTTCTATGCATGGATGGTCAGTACTGCATTCAATCCTCAATATCCTCATTAGTGATCTGGAAAATGCTCAGACTATACACTCAGCAAGGAAGCTTGTGACAGAAAACTAGGAGAGGTGTCTGATACACCAGAGGGTTATGCTGTCATCCAGAGGGACTTTGGATGAGAAGATGGAGCCTGACATCTTTCAGAGGTCCCCTAGGACAGAAATAAAAGCAATGGGCACAAACAGAAGCACAGCTGGTTCCCTCTGAACCAACAGTGAAATACTTTTTCACTTTAAGTGTGACAGAGAACTGCCAGAAGTCGCCCAAAGAAGTTGTAGGGTCTCTTTCCTTGGTGATGTTTAAAAGACATCTAGACATGTTCCTGAGCAACCTCCTCTAGATGATACAACTTGTGAAAGAGAGTTGACCAAATGAACCTTCAGAGGTCCCTTCTAACCTTCACCATTCTTTGGTTCTGTGAAAAGCACAGCCAGGTAATATCTCCCATTTAATGCTCTAGTTTCACATTTGTTGAGCCCAACCATGGTAACTAATTTTCTATATGGTTGATGATCAACCACAGATGATCAACCACAGATGCTATATGTTGAACAGCTCCTAATAGAAATGCTAGGACAGTTTGAGATTTTCTCTTTTCTAAAATAGCTATTAGAAACAGGATGGGAATTACATGTCTTTGCTTAGGACCAGTTCCACTTATTTATATTATTTAATTGCAAATATCTTATCCAGAAAAGGAAAAAAAAAGTTATTCTTCCTACTGTAATCCAGTCATAATCATACTTGCATAAGATGTAATCCTTTCCCAGAAGGATATTTTCCAACAAAATCCCAAATAGACACATTGCTGTGAAGCTACAGATCACACTGAGAAATATCAGCCTCATATTCATGAAATACATTTATGAATGTTAAGGGTTTGCAATGGTCACAAGTACCTCTTTGTTTTCAAGTCAGTAGCAAAATCCAATTATTGATCATACTTGGTTGTCTGGAATGCTTACAGAAGATTTTATTATTCTTTGAATATTTGCTGATTTATGCAAATGGTAACTTGTGTTTGTAAGGGGAGAGATTATAATGGTTGAACATTCCTCAAGGGATTACTGGAACTCTGGAGCTTTAGAAAATGTTTTCACGGTATCATAGAATGCTTTGGGTTGAAAGAGACCTTCACACCAGGTTCCAAACCCCCTGCTGTGGATAGAGACATGTCACTAGACCAGGTTTCTCAGAGCTCCATCCAGCCTGGCCTCAAACTCTTTCAGGGATGGGCCATCCGCAGCTTGTCTGGGCTACCTGTTCTAGTCTCACCACCTTCACAGTAAAGATGTTTTTTTCCTAATGTCTAATGTAAATCCACTCTCTTTTACTAGAATTAAGCCATTTCCCCTGTTCTGCCATTTCTAGTTCTGTCACTACCTGCCCTTGCAAATGGTCTCTCTCCATTTTTCTTGTAGCTCCCTTCAAGTACAGGAAGGCTGCAATTGGGCCACTCTTAAGCACTCACTTTTCCAGGCTGAAAAAACCCAATTCTCATAATTCTGTTCACACAGAAGGTGTTCCATCCCTCTAATGAACTTGGTGGCCCTCCTTTGAACTCACCTCAGCAGGTCTGTATTATCACAATGATTTTTTGTGGAAAGTTTTATTTGTCAGAGAAAAGTACCATTCTGAAGATGATAGCTCTATAAAAACCAGGTTTATATTACACCAGAATGAGATTTGCAGTTGCAGCAATTCTGATTTGGTGTGAAAAATATGTTTTTTTTTCTCAACAATCTAAAGGAATTTCTGGGTAGCAAACCTTGATCACTGCAGACAATTGAATGTCTAATACACCAAATGCTCGTGACAATAGTTGTACCCCTATAAATATGTTTTCAAATCCTGTGTGTTATGTAGCAGTGTTTTCAGAAAATACTGGCCAGAAACCTGGTGAAATAATTTTAGTATATAATGCACAAGCATCTAGATGGTGTTTCAATTCCCTTGCAGTTTTGAAATGATTATCTCATATATCTCATATCTCATATTCTTCAAATACTAGTGACAAATAATATTGTAGTTTATAAGTGCTACTTTTTAGTTCTCTCCTCATAGAAGAACAAATTTAAATTTTTACTACTTTCATTGCTCTAATTTCACTTTTATGTTATTTTATTTTTAGACACCTATTTAATTCTGAAGTTGAGAAAGTATTGCGAAATTCAGAATCTAAGTGAAAAATATAGTCAAAGCATGGCATGTTATTCTCATTTCCTCATAAATGTCTCTTCTGGCAGTGCTGATGCCTTCCATTGAACATTAAATTAGAGTCATTATAATTACAGGCATGTTTGATTTATATATTTACATTTCCAGGAGAAGAGAAACAATATCAAATGTATTTATTTACATTACCTGAAGAAGAGAAGCATAATTGTTTATGGAACCTTGTAACAAAGTCAGAAGTGGTCATCTTCAACCTAACCTTGCAGCATTACATATATTCCATTAAAAAGGTGAGTATTTAAAGTATCTCAGGATACTTTAAATTGTTGTTAAAATATTGCAGCAAGATGTAGCGATTTCTGGTGGAGTGACAAAAAGATACATTTTGAACTTTGCACTAATTAGTTAGTATACAGAGAAGAAAAGTAGTCACTGCAGATAAAGTGTTTCATAGATGAACTTCTCAAGTGGCATGGTGTCCATTAGAAGGGGCCCCAATAAAGAGAGCAACCTCGAATCCTGTGTCGAGTTCTGGGCCCCTAGCTACAGGGAAGATCTTGATGTGCTGGTGTCTGTCAAGAGAAAGGCAAGAAAGCTTGTGAAGGTGCTGGAGCACAAATCTTATGAGGAGCAGCTGAGGGAGCTGGGGGTGTTTAGTCTGAAAAAAAAAAAAGAGGGCTTAAAAAGGATCTTCTCACTCTTTACAACAACCTGAAAGGAAGTTGCATCAAGGTCAGTTTCTTCCCGCAGGTGACAAGAATCAAGCTGAGAAGAAATGGCCTCAAGTTGTACCAGGGGAGGTTTAGATCGTGTATTAGGAAAACTTTCTTTGCAAAAAATGTTGTCAAGCATTGTCACAGACTTTTCAGGGAAGTGATGGAGTCATCATACCTGGAAGAGCTCAAAAAATGTGTGAGTGTGGCACTTGGGATATGGCTTAGTGAACATGGTGGTGCTGGGTTAATGGCTGGAACTGATGTGTTTTTCAACCTAAATAATCTGATGGTTCTACAGTTACTATAACTTGTTTGGCTCAAAAGGAGCTATCATTTCTTTTGTGTTTTCTGAATGGTGTCCCAAGTACATTACCAGTGCCAAGGCACCATGAAGACCATTGGCTCCCTGGAGCTGGAGTTTCAGAAGTGTTGGGATCAAGCTTAGCCCTGTCAGGGCAGGACCCATCACCAGGGTTTATCCCAGAACCCATCAGCAGGACAACTGAGAGGCAATGGAGAAGTTCCAGCTCTGGGCACTTGGCACATCCCAGAGGACAGGTGAAGGTGGGGCTGGAATGTACACTGCAGGAGGGCCTGGCTCAACTGGGCAGGACAGGGCTGAGGGGAGCTGGAGACTCTGCTGAGGCATCTCTGGGGCAGGGACTGATGTTTCTGGGGGTGACATGGGGTCCTGGGCTTTGGGCAGGGTGGAGGGAGATGCAGAGGGTTGTGGAGGGGTGGCCAAGCCTGGTGGTACCTCCAGAGCCTTGACACAGAAAATTCTGTGATAAATTCTGATCAGGTTTTCATTTCTTCAAGGAAACACAAATGACCTTTTTACATTTTAAAAAGCTGGGGCTTTTGAAAAGTCAAATTTAAGAATATTTGTTTTTCCAAGTTACAAAGGTTAAAATAATCATCTATTCAAACTTTATATGCTGTTATGATCAGATTTTATGTTTCATTAATAGCGTCAATGCAAGTACAATGATCAGTTCTTTTTAAATAATGTTTATACTTCTCAATTTCAGGTTTGAGGAGAGAGATGGTGTTGTCAGGAGACAGAGAAAATTTCCATTGGTGAAAAATTCATACAAATTATTTCTCATAGTAAGAATGACAAATAACATATATTTTGTTTGCTGTGTTTTCTTTTCTGCCATACACTGTGTTTTCCTGGAGGTTGCAACTCAGCCAGAGGGAGGGAGGTCATGTACTTGCTGGCACAGCATGTCACTGCTGGCTGTCATATATTGGATCAATACACAGTCCTTGGTAATGAGTGGAGCAGCAGTCCTCTCCTGAGAGAAGGAAGCAGAATGGGAGGATTCAAAAGTCTCCACAAAAATGCATAATCCCAAGAATGGAAGGAGATACACTATAAAGAGACAGTGGCGATACACAGGTAGTTTCTAGTCGTCTCCAGTGCACTGCTTGGAATTATTCATTACTTAGCAAGATACTAAACATTGCTGCATTCAAAGCAAGAGTGAGGTGAAGGAAAAGACCTACCTCTGAGATGAAATAGGGAGCAGTGATGACTTCTAATACTGTTTTCATTTTTATTTGATCTGACCAACTTGATCTGAGCTTTTGTTCCATGGAAGTTATTCTATTGTGTTTATCCTTCAATAAAATGTAATGTCAGCAGTCCAGAGTCCTTTCAGTATTTTTAGTATCATTACTTTGAAGAAAAGTTATTGATATACACAGTTGAATTTCATAGTCAAGATTCCTGGATTTCATCTATGCATCCCAAAAGGAATGCTGTGGAACCTCTTGAAGGTATGATTGATTCTGTTAAGTAGAAATCAATAAGACAATCTCTGGTCCCACACTCAGAAAGCTGACATTTATTAGTATACTTCTTGACTCAATGAATATTTTTTATATGTATAAATTAAATCCTGCATGAATATTCTTCAGGACATGTTATTTAAATACAAGATAATAGCACCTACAGATGAAACTACCTGAGGACATCACCAGATTACAAGTACTTAAATTTATTATTAAAATTCTAGTAGGATTTTCTCCCTTCTAATTAATTAAAAATAAAGTATAATCAAGGAAAAGAGAGAGAAAGAAAGAGAGACCAATTTAGCAAATATTTTTATGACATGCTATCAAAACAGAATTCCATACAAGCATACAAGTTCATTTTCTTTAACATTTTTTTTTCAAAATGTATCAGAATTGTTAGGTAATATTCCTCATTTGCTTCACTATATTCTTGTAAAATATTTAATAATTTTAACAGGAAATAGTTAGATATCGTGTTACTGATTTCGTTTTAGATAATGAAATAATGAAGAGATTGCAGGTTGTATAGACCTCTCAGGAACAATGTTAATAAATGTAAAAAAGGTTAAATATCTGGCAGAACAGGGACTTGCAATTAAGTGTCACAGATTATGTTTAAAATAACATTTGTTCTACATCTAATGTGAGCCAAGAGACTCACTAAAAATTGCTTTCTAGATTATACTCTATTCCCAGAAAATTAAAATAATAATCTTTCCCTTGAGTGTTCAAAGGAACTCTATTGAAAGACAATTTTTTAACATCTTTTTTATTTTTTCCTTGTAATATTACAGTTTGTGACTAGACAGAAGCAGAAATTTTCAAATTACTGGGCAAACTTGTTCATTCCAGACATCTTGTATATGAATATTTATCTAACTATGGAAATGAATGAATTCCAGAGATTGGCACCACTTTTTTATCCAACCATCAGGATAAACAAAACAAACCTGGACACAAAATTCTTCACATGAAAATTCCAAGTAGATCAATTTATGAGTGATGGATATAAACTGATATTTGGTTTCTTTTGAATTGTCTTGACTTTGATACTCAGTTGTGTCAGGCCAAATGGTAAGAAGATGATTCTGTGATTACAGTCTGTGCTTTGAGTAGCATTTGTATTTCATTAAAGGTGATATTACTACCCAAGTTCAAAGATATATTTGCTCCGTACCCTTTCTTTGTGACAGTGACTTTATATCCTGGTGTATTGAGAGTTTGCATGGCCTGGTTTTTGGTAACAGAGGGCCTGCCAGGGTGGCTCCTGTGAGAATCTGGCAGAAGCTTCCTCAGTGTCCAGCAGAGACAATCCCTGGTGGTTTCAAAGACAGACATGTCAATTAGGCTTCAAAGACTGGGCCAATTAGAAATGGTGGTAACTCCTCTGTGACAACACATTTAAGAAGAAATCAAAACAAAAAGGGGTTTTTCAGTTATAATTTGGACTAGAAAAGATGAGAATGTGGGAGAAGAACAATCATGCAGGCACAAAGGTCAATGGGAAAAGAGGGAGAGGAGGTGCTGGAGGCATTGGAGCCAAGATTCCTCTGCAGCTCACGGTGCAGACCATGGTGAAGCAGCTGTGCCCCTGCAGGCCATGGATGTCCACAGGGATACAAAGATTCAAGCAGGGCCCATTGGGGAGGAGCCAAAGCTGGATCAGCTGGATGCCTGGAGGAGGTTGTGAGACCATGGGAGATCTGTGGAGAGAGAGGCCCTGCTCCACTGCCATAGCAGCCTGCTCTTGAAAGACTGCAGCTGGTGGAAGAGTGACCCACGACACAGCAGTTCACAGAGGGCTGTAGATCATCAGATGGATTCACTGTGGAGAAGTTAATGGAGAACTGTCTTCCATGGGAGGAGCACAGCGGTGCAGCAGGGGAATGACTCACCTCCCCGTGCAGAAGGAGAGGCTACGGGTGATGAACTGACCATAATCTTGACATATTTGATGAGTGCATTCTCCCAGCCTTTATCTCAACCCTTTTTCTCCTCTGTCCAGCTGCAGAGGTGAGAGAATGAGGCTTTTGTGGGAGTCTGGCATGCAGTATATTTTCATATATCATTACTTTTAATATTAACATTAAGTAGCCCTAATGCTCTATTCTGTGAGTATTTGATGGAAGTGGTAGTCTAGATAATTATTGATAATTTATCCACTGTAAGACTAAGACATTCCAAAATTAAACATACTATTAAGTCTCTTTTAAGTTTTGGTGCTTTTTTTTTTTTTTGTATTCTTAACATGCATTAGCCGACTTGATTTTTTATGGAACAAAACATCATAACTGATATAACTCTGTAGCATGAATTTTGCTCTGGGTTCCCATACAAAGTAGTACTTTTGGTCAACACATTGTAAGAAGTATGACAGGCTTCTGCACTCCCTGTTAGAGAATTTGAGCCAAAATTCAGTAGAAGTGGGAAATTTAATTTAGTTTCCTTTGTTTTTCCTTAGAAACTGTGTTAATACTGAATTGCCAGAGAGGAGATTGAGCTTGTTTGAGCCTTAAAATATGCTTATTTAAAGGACATAGAACCATTTATGTAATGTTAGATAACTGGATAGAAGAGGTGCTATGACTCTCCACTTACAGAACCTGAGAATATTCTTGAATGGTTATAACACAAGCTTTATATTAAATCCCCTGTCACTCCCTTGTGAGCTGTGCATATCCTGCACATGTCTTTGCAGCCACAATGGCTCTCAGGGCACCCAGCCATATTCCAACTATTCCAACTATTACCAGACTATTGGTAAGATGCTCCATTTTGTACTGTTTCCCTCTTTTCTCTCCAAGTCTTTAACCCTTCAGATTTAGACCGAAGTAAAAGCTGTTGCAAATGGAAGCAAGCATTGAGTGAAGAAGTGTCTATGATGATCTCTATATATTCCTCAAACAGCTAGAATTCAGCTTAGAGGTTTCACCTTGTCTTTGTTCAAAAGGTGATTTCTTTACGTGTGGGAAGAAATGTGAGTTTTCCATAAAACATCCTGCATGTCTGTACATGAGGTGATGCAGTCCATTATACTGCCTCTTTTTTTAATGGGTGAATATCTTCTTTTTAAACTAATAAAAAAGAGCTTTTGTGGAACAAAGAAATTTCTTTAAAGCAAAATTAAAATCAAAATACTGTTGCTTTTATTATGGTTCTTACTATAGTAACTATTAGAACAGTTATTACAAACACTCTGTTACCACAAAAGCAGGAAATTGTTCCTAACCCTTGACCTGAGCTTACAACATGAGGTTTCTAAGTTAAGCACATATATATCTTCATTCTCTTACCTTAAACTGATTATTCTTCCCCACTCTTCTGTCCTGACATTACCTTTCAACTATTTTCCACAGAAGAAAAGCTGTGAAAATGAGAAAAAATTACACACCACGATGATGATGAGCACCTTAATAATTGAATTATCACATAAATGCCATACCATCTTTATGATGTCATGCAGGTGATCAGAGTTCCTTTGCATCTGATGGTAAGGCTGCCAAGTAATTAATTGATGATGGGAAGAAGCACCACACGGCATCAGTAAAACAGACAAGTGGGTTTGAAGACATACTCAGTGTCTCTATTAGCCAGCTCTCTGCTGCTTCTGACTCACCACGCCACTGTCGCAGTTCTCTTGTGCTGACATCAGGCAGTATAATTGGAAAATGAACAAGGAAAGACACGTAACTATAAATTTCTTGTTGCAAATTTTTGAATGCCTGTTATTGTATGGATATATACACATACCTACATACCTACAAACATACACATGTATACAAATACATCTATATAAAGAGAATGTAATTCTCTTATTTTGAGAAATACCTTTAATAGGATATGTCAGATGGAAATATATTTTACTATTTAATTTCTTTCATCTTGCCTTCAAGTTAAAAATGAGAATATTACTCTGTGGATTTTGATATCTAAATCTATGCTTGAGATCCTAATCTGTCTACCTATACAGTCAATCAAGATGTGGTCAATGTACCTTCTGGAGTCAAGGGCACAATTCTTCTTAATCTAAAACAGATATCTAAACCAAATTAACCAATAGTTCCTCTTTCTTTTTTTTTTTTTTTTTTTTTTAGAAAGGAAATCAGCTTACTGTGGCTCTCATTTCCAGACATCTATTTTGTGATCATATAAAGTTGGATTACTGTAATCACACATATTCACAATATTTGAATAGTAAGCTTACATGAATTTAACCATGCTTCTGATTTTTTTCCATTCACTGTTCTGGAGTTTTCCTTTCTAATTTTTCATCTTATTAGTTAAAGTCTGTGGAATGAGATAAGGAAAAGATTAATGTACCAAAAATGAGAGTAATCAAAGCTGTAGTGACAGGGAAATATGTGTAGATTTATCATATGGCCCATTTAATAAAAAGCAAATTATTTTCAGATAGCTAAATCATAAGCCGTAAGAAGGAGATTCTTAATGCTAGAGTTAGAAACTTATAAAAATACTTAAAAGAAAAAAAAAAATGAGACACTCCAGAGGAAACAGTCCTTTAAAGTTGTCAAGACAAGCCAGAAAGTGAAAGTACTGCAGGTACATAAACACACCAGTAGAAACCTTGGAGATTTTTCTCATTTGGGGTTCTGTCTAGTAAGAATTGGAGTTCCACATGGTGAACACCCATGCAGCCAATGTGATACCTCTTCCTTGACTTACATGAAAGATTCTTCTATTGAAGAAAAAAACCCAGTTAAATCTAGTCATAGAACTTTTTTTATTACACATTTCTTATTATAAGCTTAATGGAACTTTGTAAATCAAGCACTGCTTAATTCTCTCTCAATGTGTCATTATTTTCAAGATAATGGGTAAAAAGGTGTTTCAA